CTATCACACTTGTCTAACGTTGTAGGACTATCGGTTATTTAGCTGTAAAAGTGTCCCACGACTGACAAACCGCATATGTCCACAAACGGTCCAAAAGTGGGCTGCTAGCCGGGCTAATTCCAAAAGACGCAATATTTGCCATTGGGTTTAACTTCTATAATGCGTTAAGTCTGGCAATTGACTAAAAGTTTTTGATCAACAATCCAATGAAAAAACTTTTGAGAGATGAAAAGCCATTAAATCTTAGTCAATGGCAAGAAGTGTAATCTCTTTTGGAAAAATCATAATATACTGGAAAGTTACTTCTTCAGATACTCAGATGGCCTCTCTTCACTTGTCGTGCAGGCCCCAGCATTGTTTTCATCCGTTTCTGTCTCCCGTTAGCGTCATCCACGATGTTGGTATTGAACTGCAGCGGCGAGTTCAGGTTCAGTTCCATTACTTGTAACCATTTGAGAGTTCAGCTGGTCTATCCGTGCAACGAGCACGTCAGCCCATCTGGTCGGTGGCCTCCCTCGGGGATGTTTTGCTTCAGAATTCGTAGTGTGCATCTGTCGTCTGCCCTTCTCATTATATAACCAGCCCATCGATATGTTCGAGACGCTTCCGCTGAATCGCGAAGACGAGACATTAATCTCATATCACTGCGAAGTCCGATGAGGTTGAGTGCGTCGGTTTTGCTTTAGAAAACTTCGTTCCAGCGCTCCGTGGATTGTTCGGAGCCTTTGACGTAGCCAAAGTGTCAGGCCACGTCACTGCTGCATAACAGAGCGCAGGGAGAACGGTTGAATCAAACGGGTGGGCTGAGCGCTTGATCCGTCAGTTTGAGGCTTCCTTCAGGGGCCCAAAGGCGGCCCAAACCGCTCTTCGTCTCCTCCAGTTTTTCTTTCAGTCTCCATGTTCATCGGATCCGAGCGTAAGGAGACGTCTCCGCATTGGAGAGCCTTCTAATTCCATTCATGAACTGAATCTTCTTCCTTTTAGTTCGCAGTCCTATCCGCTTCCCCCTTCGTTTGGTTCTTTCAAAATCGCCTTTCTTGTGAAAAGAACAATGTCGTCCGCAAAACGAATGTTCCGGAGGAATCTCCCATCAACTCTCATACCTCTCTCGTTCCAATCCAGATTTTATCACCCAAGGCGGCGGTAAACAGCTTTGGCTACGCGGTGTCGCCCTGTCAAAGCCTTTTCGAGATTGGTTTGTTAAGGGGACGATGGTAAAGCTGAACCGTTGTAGAGCAGTTCTTGTAGCAACCGGCCAATGTCCTCACGTAAGATGGTCCACCTCTTAGTCGACGAGCGCTGACAGTAGTCTCGACGCTGCCAAACACTTCGCATAGTCGATGAAGGTTAGAACGAGAGGTAGGCGGTACTCTCGGCAATTCTCGATAATTCGAAACTATCTGATTGATCCAGGCAGCTGACCTTGCAAGTCCAGCTTTTTCTAGAGGTGGGGCTTCACCATGTCCTTGATATGCAAGCAAGAACAATCTTCGTAAAGAGCTTGTACTGTACGCGCAGCAGGCATATTGGACGGTAGTTCCGAAAATGCTCCTCACCCTTCTTATCAAGAAGGATTGTTCGTGAGGTTCTCCACTGGTCGAGAATCCTTTCCTTTCAAAT